TGGGTCAAGGGGTCAAAGGTCAAGGTCATGACCAGTAGATACTTGATAACCCTTATTAATTGTTTGATCACTGGGTCAGAAGTCATGCATAATAACCTTATCACATGACTAAATGGCTGCTGATAGGGGGCATACATGTTTTACAAACATATCTTGTTATAATGTGGTTTCAGTGTTACAGCACGTATCATATGCTTTCAGCCTTGTTTAATATCAGTGTGCCAGCAGTAAAAGAAGAAATAAGAACTCTTATTCCAGTATTTTATTAAAAATGTAAAGCTTTCATCATTCGGTCGTCTGTAGATCAATGGAGAAGTATGAAATACACGTAGGTTAAATTATCTTGCGCCGTAGGAGCTATAGATAGCACTTCACATAAAATATACAGACCTTATTATGCACAACAGCAACAATATTATTCTGGACACAGAAGCTTTCACGCAATTCATTCCCAGGTTATAGTTGACAATGCAGGCAGAAAAAGTTATATTTGGTGAGGTTTTATTTGGCATCTCAAGGATGCACCGCAGTTCAGTTTGCTGCGCCACATTGGCACTGATTTACCGTTCCAAGGCGACTGTGTTCTTCTCGGTGGCAAAATATACCGAAATAGACATCCGATTGTAACTCCGTATTCCTAAGTTCAGTGACAACTGATGAACGCACTACAACAGTTAAAATGTCGATAATTAAACACTATCGTGTATGTGTTGAGCATGCCATTGCGGAAATTAAGAGTTACAAATCATTCATAACGATATGGAGACATAGTTGGAACTCAAGTCATTCGTAACGATATGGAGACATAGTCGGAAAGTTTTACCACGTGTTGTAACTACTCTTTTTATTCTGTAGAAAAAAAACAAACAAAACAAAACAAATCGGAATAATATTATGAATGTCGACTGACGATAGACACGCAACTGCAGTTCGTTGTTATTGTCTATATATTGACTGTGGTCCGATATCCGTAACCGTATTAAAATAAAGAGTACTGTATAGATCACGATCAGTTGAAATACGAGTCATTTTTTCTTCAGTAAGTTGTATGTCATTACAATACAAAACGTGGCAGTCGTTGGTACATGTATTCAAAGCGACCTCGTTCTAATTTTTTTCACGATTGTTAATTGTAATGGAAATATCGATCCAATTTTTGTTCTTTTACAAATAAAAATCAACGTCAGTTGTACGACAAAAAAAAATGGAGTCATAAAAGTTTATACAGTACACTTATATTACAATGATGGGTTGTTTTTCAAAAGGATTATAGATTCACTTCTACTATAAAAACAAAATGGACTATATTGACATTAGCTTGGGGCATAGGTATTTATTAAATTTATCGATTTACGTGTATTCATTTATTAATTATACACAGCAGACAAGTGATTTGCTATTTTATACATGTATATCAACCCTTTATTCATGTATTTATTATTTAATAATTGATTTAAAAAAACAAACAAATTTATACATATAATTTATTAATTAATTACTTGAAAATTTAGATATTCATTTATTCATCTTTTTTAATAATTTATTTATTTATTTATTTATTTATTTATTTATTTATTTATTTATTTATTTATTTATTTATAATATAACAGACACGTGATTGTGTTGGTTATTTATATATTAATTTATTAATGAATTTATTTACTTATTCTATTTATTTATTCATTCATTAATTTATTTATGTTATAACAAGGTTATTTATTTATTAATTTATCAATGAATTTATTTATTTTTGATTTATTTATTTATTTATTTAATAACAACAGGGTTATCTATTTATTAATTTATTAATGAATTTTATTTATTTACTTGTTCATTTAATTATTACATATATTCATTCATTCATTCATTCATTCATTCATTCATTCATTCATTCATTCATTCATTCATTCATTCATTCATTCATTCATTCATTCATTCATTCATTCATTCATTCATTCATTTATAACAGAAAAGTCACTGCGGTGGATGTAAGTATGTTAATATATCCACCCTGTCGTAAATTTCCGCGGTAATTTAAATATCAAGACAAGTTTAGAAGTTTATTTAACAGTTACTTGCTAAGAAATCAGGGGTCGGTTAAATAATTTTAATCATGTTGCGAGTAACGATAGCGTGTCCTTCTGTCAGGCTAGCCTGGTTCCTGTCTATATTTTATACGTAAAGTAACGTGGTGTAAGGAAAAGGAACCCAGACTAGTCCTACTGCGTGCACTGGGGATACCATAGGCACTTCATAGCAAAATAAAACGTTTAATCGACTACCAGTTATGAACGACTACCCGCCGTGATTTTTATAAACTTGTATCAGTAATTTTTTACATACACATTCTTAAGAAATCAATAAAATTCTACCGACAAAACGTCTTTTGAAAAAAAGGTTATATGTTGTATTATTTATATCCACAGTAGATATTGTCATAATAATCGTTCCTGAGGTGTATCATATTTCACTGAACAGTTAATATGTGTACATGTAAATGTAAAATCGTTTTAAAGATTACTAGCAAGTAGCAAGGTTCAAGAGCTGGGTCGCTGTAATAGATAACGTGGATGCTTTACGAGGTTTTGCAGACGTGATTTTGGTTTGGTTTAGGGATTCAGTGGTGAGTAATAGGCACTGCTGCGACGGGGGACTAGCCAGCCTGGCTTGTAAGATTTTAGGTTATGGTGTTTTTTTTCTGCTGATTTTGCTGAAATGATTGGGTGTTTTATTGGAAGAGGTTGTGACCCTGCTGTTTTGGGACATACTGCGTGCTGCGTGCCGGGAAGGGACAGTTTTTGAAGCCATTTAGGACTAAATTGTTTTGTTGTTTTGGTGTTCGTCTTCTGCCTTGCTTCCTCGGGTCCTTGTGGGCGATTTTCTTGTTGTTCTGTCTTCCTTTTGGACATTGGTTGCTTTATTGTGGTCGTTGGGTTTTCTTTTGGAATTTTTCTGCATGTTCGTTTCGGTCTCTGCTTGTTTAGCCTTTTGTGAGCATGGTAGCTGTTGGAGTTTCACTTGGCGGGGCTCGTTTTGTTTGCGCTGTCACGTTTGTGGGAACACAGTGGCGCTGAGAGTTTGGTTTGGTGCGCCGTTGGCCGGTTTAGACTATCCAGCGGTGCTTGTGCTGCTGACCGTTCCGTGGCGGTGCCCCTCTGTGTTCCTAAGATGTATGTCTTTGTTGTTTCATACTGTTTTGGTGGCACTTTTATTTGTGTTCTTGTTGTTTTCTCGTCTGCGATTGGTGTTTACCCTTTAGCCCCTGGTTTTTTATTTTTTTTTGCCCATCCCTTCCTCGGGCATTGAGTCCCCTTCCCCTGTGCCCCTTGCTTTGTGGGTCTGTCTGTCGATCGATCAATTATTTGTTTTATTTAATTTTCCTTGTCGGTTACTATTATTTTTTTAAGTATCATTTATATGATTACCCTGTCCGTGCTCTGCCTTGCGTCCTGTCCTTATTTTGTTTAGGGTCCTCCAGGGCTACATGCTGCTGGTTCTTGCTGCGGGGTCGTTCGTTTCCTTGTTGATCTTGAAATTTACATTAGTTTAGGGAAGGCACACTGTGTGTGTAGTGTGTAGCGTTATTTTTTTTTTTTGAGAAGAGAATATGATTGTTATGAAGGGAGTTTTGTTGAATTGGTTGGATTTTATTGTGGTGATCTTAATTAATCAAGGCTCATTAGTTGTACTTAGTTGTTTATGTTGGTGCATCATATTTGGTTGTTGAGTTTTATCTTATATATCTGGTTTATATTGGTTGAGTTGTATTGAGTGATTATGTCTTGTCAAGAGATATTTAATTGTAAATATTGTGTCTTTTAGTTTAAGTTGTTTTCTGAGGCTGATTAGATTTTGTGAAGTTAATATTGTTGATGGAATGCTTGTGGTTTATACTATATCTTAGAGTGTAAAATAATTCATTTTGTGTTCTTTATTTTGTGGCGATTTTATTGTTTGATCAAAAATTGTTTAGAGCTTGGGCTTCACGGGTGACTAGTATTGTTTCGAATTAAAGACGTGTACGAGAGAAGATATTAAGTGGTTGATAAATGACGTGTGTTTGTTTTGGGTTTAAATAATGATCAGAGTTAATGGCCGTGAAGTACGCGAGGTAACGGGCTAGCGATGTTGCGGGCTGGCAGCGTGAGCTGGGCGGGCTAGCAGTCTATCGGGCTAACAGTGTGATCTGAGCGGGCTAGCAGTCTAGCGGAATAACAGTGTGAACTGGGCGGGCTAGCAGTCTAGCGGGCTAACAGTGTGAACTGGGCGGGCTAGCAGTCTAGCGGGTTAAAAATGTGAACTGGGCGTGCTGGCGTGCCAGCTGGCTAAACTCTAAAACTTAACTGATTCAACATGAAAACGATATGATACATATCCTAGCAGTGTGAAGTGGGCGGGCTAACAGTGTAGCGGCTAGCAGTGTAAACTGAGCGGGCTGGCGGGCCAGCGGGCTAAACTTTCATACTTATGATACATATCATAGCAGTGTGAAGTAGGCGGGCTAACAGTATAGCGACTAGCAGTGTAAACTGAGCTAACTTTCATACTTAATTGAATCAACATTAAAACGTTATGAATTATTTTAGTGATTTTGTCTTGTCAGTTAATGCTTTGTTTTTGAACATATTTGTAAATATTGCGTGTTTTAGTTTAAGTTGTTTTCTGATGCTGATTAGATTTTGTGAAGTTAATATTGTTTAGGGCTGTAACAATACAGTAAAAAGCATATTGCAATAAATTTGCTCAATAATTAGAACAGTATGACTTATGTGACAATAAAATTTGGGGATTTTGTAAATTATTACTGAATGCAGACCGGACTTTAATAGCGCTACTTAAAGATACCCCATGTCTTGAATTCAACATTTTTCAATGAAGGTTAACGCTTTTTTCTGTTTTTTTTTTTTTTTTTTTTGTTTTTTTTTTTTTTTTGTTCTTTTTTTTAAAATATTTTTTTATTTTTATTTTTTTATTTAGTGTTTTTTGTTTTTTTTAAAAAAAAATCATTGCATCTAAATTTTATTTTACATTCAGGTATCATATGCTTACACTTGCAGTACGTACATTTATCAGGTATGTAATTTCTTCGAACCATACTGTTCTCTTTTAGAAATCTACGAACTTGCAAAGTTTTCCTCATACTTCTTTATAGGAATTCTACTGAGGCGCAAAAGCCTAAAACCAGATTAATATATGCACCTGCTAATACATTATTATTTTTTATTAAAATAGATCGGCGTAGAAAAAAGGTTATACAACCGATAATAAAGAAAGTTACTGAACATCGTACTTTTGTACTATTCTTAGCCGTGTTTGAGTAATAATCAGTCATTAGACTAACAACGGAATTAAGAAAATTTGAGCCGCGTCATGACTTAACCAACATAGTGGGTTTGCGACCAGCATGGATCCAGACCAGCCTGCGCATCCACACAGTCTGATCAGGTATGAAGGGCGATCGTTGCCAAAATTCCAGACTTGTTATGTGTTCCTTTTGAAAACTACTTTTGAAAATGCAAACATATACTCTATGTCTAGCATTTTTTATTGCATTCGTGCACAGCAAATGATATGCCTCTTAATCCAATCTTTTAATTGAAGGCAACCGCTTTTAAATAACAAGTTTACATGTAAATCTTAACAACTGACCTAACATGGAGAACAACAACACATTTACAAGTTCGTATCTACCATTGCATATAATACATAAGCATGTTTACACACTTGTAGATATATATCTGTACCTGAAAAACACAAATGAAATGTAAAACTTGAATGCAGAAATATATATTAATAAACCGTGTTCCAGTCGTAGAACTACAACAGTACGTTTACACAGTTACATGTTTAAAATGACAAAAGTAGATTCACAAAGTTAAACGATTCTAAGTCATGCATGACGCCCCGCCTCTCTCTGAGTATTTACGATCTTCTATCACGGAAATGTACGGAACAGGTATAATACCCGTCGCCTCTCTCCTATTTCTCAATAAAAGTGAAGAAAACACGGCGTCCATTCTAACTTTTTTTTTATTTCTAAAAAAGTCCAATATTATTGGTATCAAATGAAAGATTACTCCATAAGCTTTCTATTAGTGCCTCGGAAATAAAAATGAATTAAAATAGATGTATTGAATTTTTAGGTTTTTTTACTCTGAAAATAACACTCTCGAAATTGGTAAGAAAAACACAACGGCGTTTTCTCCAAACTTTTTTTTAAGTTCGTAATATATTTTGATAATTTTGGATTGAAATAAAAGTGTGCTTCATACGATTTATGATATATAATATATAATGCCTAAAAATTAAAAATGAATTAAATCAAACTGAATTAACTTTTCGTTAAAAAGTTTATTCACTATGTTACTTTCTGTAAAATAGAGAAAATAAGAATCCCTAAAAGAACGCTCAAAAAACGACAAAATTTGAGAATGTTACAGGCCCGGTTTGATTGAGCCTGCTCATGGACGGTAATGGAAAGAGCAAGTTATCGTCCACGCCCCCTAGCCACCGGCTTAAGCAAAATTCAACATGAACTGGTACAATTTTGAAACATCCGCAGGTGTGTTAATATGGCGATTATCATGGAACCTTCAATGTTGACACGTAAGTGCCATACCATGAAAAACGGCATATGATCCCCAAGTAAAAAAAAACACACTCTGAAATTCAGTAAGAAAAACATGGCGCCCCTACTTACTTTTTTTATTTCTCTGGTCAATTTTGATAATAAACAAGATCATCAAGGAAAGGCGGCGTTGATGATTTTAGACTCAAGTAAAAGAATCCTTTATGAACTTTCTAGTGATGCCTTAAAAATGAAAATTAATTATGTAGAAGTATTAAAAAAAATTGTTTCGAATTTATCGTTGTTTATTCTTTTTCTCTTAAATCCACACTCATATATTCGGAAAAAAATAACGTCGCTTCCTTTAGATACTTTATTCTAAAAGGAAATTGAATATTGAATGAAATTTAAGACCATAAGCTTTGAACAAGTATATTAAAAATCTGGAAACAAAGTGATCCCTCGGAAGCATTAATCACAACAAAATTACATAAGAATTGCAGATTCGGTTTAATTGAGTCTGCACATGAGGGATAATGAGAACAAGTGCAACATCCCTCACGCCCCCTAGCACTGGCTTGAACGGTACTCAATTCTCAACACTTAATAGCGCTGGCATCAATGATCCCGAAGGACCAGAAAAACACTGAAGTGAAGTACGGGGCAACTTTTTACAGCTGCCACACGGCACTTGACACCTGCTGTTATGAAGTATTAAAATCTGGAAACAAAGTGATCCCTCGGAAGCATTAATCACTACAAAATTACATAAGAATTGCAGACTCGGTTTGATTGAGTCTGTACATGAGGGATAATGAACAAGTGCAAAAAGTTTTTATAAATTCATACTAGATTCAAGATTCAAGATTCAAGATTTTATTTCAAAAGGCATAAACATTTTACAATGTCCGTCGCCATAAACAGAATGACGGTTACAAATAGTATATGAGAAAAGTATGTAACTGTATACAAATAATTTTTACATTAACATTTTTATATTTAAAGAACACATAATTATACATTGTATTTCAATATATGTTTGTAAATAAAAGTGTGCTATATATACCAATATCATTATTTGAAAAACAATCAACCCATTCGTTCTATTCACGTAATGCATTTGCAAAGTAGATATATTTTGATAATCTAGTTAACAGTCCATGCTTAGAATTTTTTCATTAAAGATATAAATTTATTTAAAGTAGGCCAAGAGCAATAATATTTCGATAAATGTTCTTTTCTTAATTCCCTACAAAATGGACAAACTAGTAAAAAGTGATATTCTGTTTCAATTTCATTCATGTTACATTTAAACAAATTTTCTGATCTCTGTCAATATTCCTAAATCTACCTTCTTCTATCATAAGTCTATGTGCGAAGCATCTAAATCGTGACAAAGCAATTCTAAAACTTTGGATTTTTTTACTAAAGAAAGGTATTTTTTGGAATTAAAACTCTCTTTTATAATCTTATATCTAAAGTCTCTAATTTTGATGAATTACTAATTTCCGATAACCATTGTTGATTATATTGATCATATTTACGTTGAATGATGGTTTTTACATCAATAACATTGGGATTATCAAAAGTATTAGTAAATCCTAAATTCTGAATCAATCGACCATTTATTAACATATTGATTATTTCTATCTTTCATCATTAAACAATTTATACATAAGAGAATCAGGCTGTTTAACTATTCTATACCAGTATTTAACAACACGTATTTTGCGTAATATTAACAAAGGTACCCCCTTCCAAATTCACCATATACGCGGCATTTGCTGTTTGCTGTCTAACACCCCAGAAGTTGCTTCAAAAACTTTTTTTGAACATGTTTATGTCTGGTGCATTATGCAAACCCCATACTTCAGAACCATAATTGAGAATAGGCATAATCATGTAGTCAAATAATTTTAACTTTTCCGAATAACTTCCAGAGACACGTTTATCAAAAAAAGTGAATTAAGTGGGTAAAGGGCCCTTTAAGGCTTGTTCTGACAAAGATTTTTTTGTGCTTGAAACAAGCTACCGTTTGACGAAATAGATACACCTAGATAAGTAAATTTATTAACACATTTCAAAATTTGATCATTATACATAATACATCATTTTCTTGTCTAGTACCTTTTTTACATATCATAACAACTGATTTTTCTGAATTAACAAGTGATTCCCCATTCATGACAATACATATATAGTTTATCTAGTAACAATTGTAAACCACTTTTCGTATATGAAAACAAACTGTATCATCGGCGAAACAATAAACAGAAATAATTTCATCTCTTCTAAACGTAAAATCTTCAACATTATCGTCATATACAAATATTCATACATATCATTGATAAAAAAGATAAACAACAAAGGAGATAATGGTTCGCCTTGTTTAACACCATTATTACAGTCAAAATAATCAGTTACAGACCCATTAACTCTAACACATGCTTTAACATTTTCATACATAACTTTCAACATTTTGACAATTTTAGAGGAAGCTCCATAATTCAATAATTTTAACGAAATACCATTTCTATATACAACATCAAATGCTTTACGAAAATCAATAAAAGCACAATATAATTTCTTTTTCTCACTATTAATAACTTTATTTATTATAGAATTTAAAACAAAAAACAATCTATGGTGCTTTTGCCGTTACGAAATCCGATAACAAATTGTTAGTTTCGGCCCACCTGCGCAAACGTGTATCTAACATTGAAGAAAATATTTTAGAAAAAACACTGGTTAGGGTAATACCTCTATAGTTATTTACATCATCAACATTACCTTTTTTTGGGATTACTGAAAATACCTTATTAAAGATTGTACATATGTGCTACGGATAAGCATTTTCTTGATTTCGGAAAGGAAATCTCGGTGGCCGCATTAAAATCCTATTTTTGCAAATACTTGCATAGGTTTTGTTGAAAATGAAATGTGTGCCAATACATTTTTCAATGATACCAATAAGAATATTGGATGGTTTTTACATTATCAATAAAATTACTCCCTTGAAGTTGGTCATTGTTTCCCCTAAAAACTTCCAAATCGCCGATGTTTCTCAGGAGTATATGATAAACAAGATCAACAAGGAAAGGCGGCGCTCAATGAACGCAACCCTACATGACCCAGCATCAAGAACAAGTGGCAAGAAGCCCAGGCGGACCCCAAAACAAAACACAGGACAGGGCACTAGGCATAGCACGGACAGGCTAATCACTAAAATGATAAATGATTTGTAACTGATAAGAACACGATGTTAAATAATAAGGTAATACACAAGTTATCTTCATCATAAATGGTAAAATCAGCAATTTTCAAGTGATGTTGCTAGTGACAAAACTTTTGTAAGAAATGTTATGAAAAATGCCGTATGTTGTCCTTCAGTTTTATTAAAAAATATGGAAGAGGCGCCGTTTTATACCTGTCCGCAATAGAAGTTCGTAAATACTCCGAGAGGGGCGGGGCGTTATGCTTGACTTAAAATCGTTTAACTTTGTGAATCTACTTTTGTCATTTTAAACATATTACTGTGTTAACGTACTCTTGTAGTTCTATAACTGGTAACACGTTTTCTTAAACTCTATTTTCCGTATTCGAGTTTTACATTTCATTTGTATATTACAGATCTATAAGTGTACAAACATGCGTATGTATTGCATGCAATGGAAGATACGAACTTGTAAATTTGTTGTCGTTTTAGATGTTAGGTCAGTTGTTACGATATATATGTAAACTTGTTATATAAAGGCGGTAACCTTCAATTAAAAGATTGAATTAAGAGGCATACAATAAAAATGGTAGGCATACAAGTTCGCATTTTCAAAAGTCATTTTAAAAAGGAACACTTTACATGTCTGGAATTTTGGCAACGAACGCCCTCCATAATCAGGATCCATGCTGTTCGCTTACCAACTCTATTACAAGTGGAGAAACTGACAGCGAACAGTATGGATCCTGATCAGACTGCACGGATGCGCAGGCTGGTCTGAATCCATGCTGGTCGCATACCCACTATGTTGGTTTTGTCGTGACGCGGCTCATTTGGAGTTTTTCATGGTAATCCGTATGTAAAAACAAGCTTTTACAGTAATGTTTCACCTTCGAATACAGGTTGGACAGATATTGTACCGTTAAGCTATGGCTAAATTAGTTGTTAGATTAGAAAACCCACGTTTGCCGAGTGTCTGATAACATCTTTTTAGGGTCACTTTTTTCACAAAAAGAATGAAAAACGTAGTGAGCGAATGATCTGAAATAGACTTAATCTGGAATTATATCATTATTTCCTGAAATACAAACATAATAATAATAATATAATAATAATATATAAAAAATATTGAGCTGACATGTTCTGATAAATGCGTATACTTAAATATAAAGGTACAGATTTCACCAAAGACTTTAAAGACAATGAGCACCAAAAAGATTTCACCAAAGATTTTAAAGACGTTGAGCTCCAAAAGCCGGTTCTCAAATGTAAGTGTATTTTTCTCACTAGTCATCACAGACAGACGCATTAAATAAACTTTTAACAGTCGCAGCGATCTACTCATATACTTGATATTTAGTAACAAACCGACTTTTTATTTTAATATCTCCAAAAATGTTGAAAAGGAAATGTTTTATTGAAATATTCAAAAGTGATATTCATGAAATAATGTTAAATATTATTCTAAACTTACGTATTTATTTATAATTGAAATAGCTAACATGCCCTCTGCTCAAAATCGGATGGATTTTATATTATTTATTTAGGATGGGAAGGGGGAGGGGGCGAAGATACAAAGCTATGGGAAAATTGATTTATTACTAAGGTAAAAGTTATAACAAAATTGACTGGAATGTGATTGAATTATCTAACTTTATTCTATTCCCTGTTTAAACACCCCATGTGCTTTTTAATCTAAAACTTCAAAAACAGACTTTTCATCGTGTCTTTTGGTTGATGCTTCTTTCCAGCACAAGGCTATGACGTACTTTTAAACAGTTACATGAGAGCCGGAAGTTCTTTAACTGGTATGGTTTTCGGATATAGATCAGATTCGTTTTATGTATACGAACCCTTGTGGAAAATCTCACAGTGGACTTATTGGCATGGTAATAGCACGTATGTAAAGCTGATCGTCTAGAATGCAGGTATGTGGCAGGTTATATGCTCAAGCCGTCTCGTGAACATTATTTTATATGGATTTAACTCACTACATACAATGTTGGAGTCGCCAGTAGAAATCATGATCCGAAAGTAGAAACGCTCGTTTTCTTCGATTTTTTAACATTTTTTATTCCATTATCGTACATAAGTCGGTGTGAGAAGATTAATTAGATAGTGCATTTTGGCGGGTGAAAAGGCAAGTTTATAGCATTTTGATTTAAATGATTCAAGCGTCTTGTCCGGTATATACCGGATTACCAGTGCATTTTGGCGGGTGAAAAGGCAAGTATTTAAATCATTCAAGCGTCTTGTCCGGTATATACCGTAATACCATATATTTAGTGTGATAGTCTCACTCATGTAATATATTCTTACGAAAATATCTGTCAGTGACACATCATATGCTTCTTTATAAATTATGATTTTTGTGTAAAAAATTTGCAGAGTGTTTTGTTTCAAAAATTTTGTCTGTCTTTTGTATATTTTTTTCTATCAGACATGTGGAGCCAGGGACAGAAAATATCAAGACCAAGGCATCTGCTGACAAAAAGTAAATATTTTTATGTTTATGCATGTTAATGCAAAAAAGCAAAAGTTGTCCTTTAATCAGCTAAATTAATACCATGTATTTAACCAGCTTTGAATTTGGATGGACCATTTGAAATATCGGGTATTTCAAGTTAAAAATAGAAAATTTGAGCTAACTTCCGGTGTCAAAAGGAAACATGACCTTGATATGTAAAGAGCTCAAACCTACCTGATTTTTTCTTACATAATGAGAAAGAGGCCTTAGTCTCTTAATTTTAGGAAGAAATATGTCTAAAATTAATGATTTGGGAAGTAAAAAAAATGCTCAGCCTGGTGTCAGTTTAGAAGTTTAGGAAAATTGCTTGGTTAAAGGATTTTATTGTGAAACAGGGTCATTTGTAGATATCTGTTTTAATAATTTAAACAATCACTGCTCAAAATCACCGGGTCGAGCAGCAGAAACCTTGAACATAAGACCACCTTTTCTGATTTGAGCCGCGTCACGACAAAACCAAACAAAAGTGCGTTTGCGTCCAGCCATGGATCCAGACCAGCCTGCGCATGCCGCGCAGTCTGATAAGGATCCATGCTGTTCAATTACCTAACCATATTACAAGTAGAGAAACTGATAGCGAACAGCATGGATCCTGATCAGACTGCGCTGATGCGCAGGCTGGTCTGGATCCATGCTGGTCGCAAACCCACTATGTTGGTTTTGACATGGCGCGGCTCATTTGTTTTTTTAATGTCTATTTAAATCAATACGTCTCCTGATTTTTTATTTTACTTTGTGCAACATTATACTTATAATGTTTATTTGCTCCATACTCTTTGTATTTCGTATATTAGCTTTCTTATACGTAAATTCTGTGGCAAATGTGCTGCTCAGAGACGTGTATATCCTTCAAGATCAGAAAACAAAAATCAAAATGAAGTTGTTGGAAAATGCAAGCGAATGTCTTTGGCGTTTGACGTGCGCCGCGAATCAAATCGTCACCATGGTAGTAATGGTTTCATTTTGTCGTTTGTTGATATTTTTCTATGTAAACTTGTGAAAAATTTGTCCATTATATGGGTTTATCACATATCAAAATATCAAATTCGTACTTTTTTATTTGGCTTTTAAACAATCTTGTCGAAGAATATTAGGACAACCCACATACATGTCAGATTATAGAAACAGTTACCTCTCACACGATCCAATCACCTCTTTAAGCTTTATTCTATCGTCAACACTTATTAAAAATCCACGTAATTAAGGATGTAACAACACTAACGTGAAATTTAATATATGTATATAACTATTCTTCTAAAGCAATTTTCAAGCATCCAAGAATATGTTAAATATGTATTGCAAATGTTTCAGCTTATTGTGTGTAATAATTGAAATATATCCGAAAAACTTGGCTAAGGCTTTATGGAAAATAAACTTTTAATTACCATCCTTAACTTACATAAAATGTAAATTCGGTAATATATTTACAAATAAAGCTTTTTGGAACTTTCATTATTGATAAATCTTCATTTGAGCATCATTTTTATGATATAAATCCATAAACAATTTGAGTTACAGGATTGAAGTTAGTGATTCTAAAGTATAATTCAAGAGTATTGTTACGACATTGTATACTACGAAATAGTTAAAAGGCATTCAAAAAGTGTAAGTCGGTTGATTGTAATTTGATTTAAATACACGTTTTAATACAAACCAATAATGTTCATAAAAACTAGAAGAATCGTTTATTTTGCCGATTCGTTTCTCTATATACTTGAAGTATGTTAAGGCCTAAATGTATCTATTCGTTTTTTTGTAAAACATTTGTAATTTTGACAACAATTCGTTTAGACAAAAAACTTGAAGCATTTTGATAAAAAGGACTAAGAATGACAATACATGACCTTGTCTTTCTGAATAAAATGAACTGATTTGTGTTAAAACATCTAATCAAAAGCGAACAAAAATCGACCGTCTTACATCTAATAATCGCACTAAATAGAGGCCCTTTATTGATTCCGTAGTTATTAGAGCTGTCATCGATAGAGACAATATCGATCTATCGTTGATATTTTTTGCCTATCAATAATCGATACACATTAAAAAATCTATACTTTTGACTAATTAATTAATTGTCTAGAAATTATAAAAATTCACCCAAAACATATACAGAAGCAGTTATTTATGTCTAATGTTATGCTTTTGTCATATCGTGGAAATATATCATAGCAATGGTGAAAAAAAATATTGTCTGAAAAAAAAATTTGCAGTGGACAATAGACTGTACAAAACATGTTTTAAACTGAAATCATTTAAACAGGTATGAAAGTGAACGACAGAGAAGTAATTACAGGTTATTATCGATATATCGATATATCGTTGATATGCTTTGCACTGAATCAATGACAGCCCTAGTAGTTATCATTATTTTGAAATCTTGATAAATCGCATTCTGAAAGTTAATTACCGTGAACTATTGATAAACAGAGTTCTTGTTTCAGGCGACCTCCTGGTTCTCTGGTGATAGCTAAAAATATCTTACACAATACATACGATTGTCAGTTCCAGGACTATGAACGCATGGTTTTTGAACCTTTAGTTACAGCCAAATTTGGAGGTAAGTTGTCATGACAAACATAAAACATAGAAAAAGGGTACAAGTTCGGAAAAGGGATTTTAGTGAGATTATGAGATAAAAGACGACTGATTTTGGTTCGAATTAATCAGATCAATTCTTTTTATTCACAAAGACTAGACCATTTTTCGTCATTGTTGTCACTTTACTCAAAATGCTTCAAGTTTCTAGTCAATGCGGAGTGGTTTTTTTGTTTGTTTTTTTATTTAAAAGACAAATGCTTTTCAAAAGAGGAAAAGTAACCTTTTCGCGACTACACGCCTGGTAAACAAAAGAGCTACATCTTTCTGAGGTATACGGTAAAATCGATCTATCGCTACTTCCAGGCTAGTGCATATCGCTAAAATCGGTTGTCAAGTGTTGGACATCATGTTTTTATATATTTTATAAAGTCTACACCAAATATCGAAATTCTGAGAATGCTATGCCATGCAGCTTTGATTAAGATTTGCAGAAAACGTAAAGTTGTTAAAATTGTGTTTGAAAAGTAGTTGTGGTTAGCGAATTTATCGTTGAAATTGACCGTTTCATCACTATGAGGTTGAAGACTTTATGGCTTATAAAACTCATTTTGGTCGTCGGAACACCAAAATAAGAACGGGAGTCGAAATGAAACAAATTTAATTAACGAAATGTAGATATTTCTTTTTTCATGAAATTTATTTAATGTAGCTTGAACTGTGTGTCAGCGTGCGAAGTTGTTGCAACTAACTAGAACTTCCAGGATGTATTCTTGATCTTTTGATTAACTAATCTGAGCTGCATCACGACAAAACCACATAATGCGTTTGCGACCAGCATCCGCGCAGTTTGATCAGGATCCATGCTGTTTGCTATCAGTTTCTCTACTTGTAATAGGGTTTGTAAGCGAACAGCATGGATCCTGATCAGACTGCGCGGATGCGCAGGCTGGTCTGGATCCATGCTGATCGCAAACCCATTATGTTGGTTTTGTCGTGACACGGCTCATATGTAAACAGGATCTCCTGTGTTGCCGTTTGAAGACCCCAATATCAGTGCATATTAAACGTACCACTCCTCCTCATGCTTACGCTTCAAATGCAGTTAAATGACACGTAAATTCTTATTTGACCAATCAGTTGTAAAAGTCGTCTAAACATAGACAAACGGTAACACGAGTTTAGAAAGGTCAATAACAGGTGCACGACTGAAAACAAGACAATAGTCCTGTTTTGTCTTAAGTTACAACGTTTTGATTCCATGCAGGATAAGACAAATATTCTGTTTGTTTAAAAGGTCAAATAAACATGGACAGATTTAAGAAATCTTACACCTTATCTATACTTATAAAGGAATCAAGTTTGTTCTATGTCGTTATAAATATGGACCTGCTATGTTCTTCAAAAACTTCATGTTTTATTTTCGCATTGAATATACATGTATACAAAAGAAGGATGCGGCCTCGGCGATCGTTGTCATGCGACTATGTACGTTGTCTTGTAGGTCCTGACTTCTACAATTGAGCCGCGTCATGACAGAACCAACATAGTGGGTTTGCGACCAGCATGGATCCAGACCAGCCTGCGGATCGGCGCAGTCTGATCAGGATCCATGCTGTTCGCTATCAGTTTCTCTACTTGTAATAGGGTTTGTAAGCGAACAGCATGGATCCTGATTAGACTGCGCGGATGCGCAGGCTGGTCTGGATTCATGCTGGTCGCAAACGCACTATGTTGGTTTTGTCGTGACGCGGCTCAATTTTGTTCGCATTGAGGAGTGACATGACATTATACTTTACGCATGCAATTATGCAACTCCAATGACATACTTACGCCTCATAGTGACAGAATATTTAGATTAACAATGAATAAACTGCGTGAGAACAAATCAAATTGCAAAAATGCTGTTTTAAGGCAGTTTTTGAAACAATCCAGGACAGATATACATGTATTGAAATTTCTGTGTGAACATATAACGTTTGACTGTCGTGCATGTATTGACGTTCAAAGACAAAACAATATCAAACTTCACATTAATGCCATAACCTTCTTATTCCTAACCATGTTCTAAGCGAACTCCTTCACGAAATTCTTAGCGCTGGGTATACCAACGTTAACTTTGTTTTGTCATACATATACGAGTAGACAACTCATTTTACAACATGCGTATGCTGTCTTATGAAATAGCGACAGTGCATTGTAGGAGCACATTTGTCTCGCAGCACATTTGTCTTACGTAAGACCAATGCGGTCGCATTTGTCCCACATGAGACAAATGGGACCTCAAATGTCTACCCCAAAAAACCCATTTGTGTGACAAATGTGCTCCGATCAAGTTTTTTAAGGGACAAGAAAGCACATTTGTCTAATGTGTTTTTAAGGGACAAGAAAGCACATTTGTCTCATGTCATTTTTTATGAATTATTTGTCACATTATTCCCACGGCAGAAATTCTTTTTTAGAATCGAGGTTCGCCGTTTTACGTCATGTCAAGTGTAATCATCAATAGGTTTGCTTATGCTTTCTTTATGAAAACCTAAAAACAACTATTAATCATAATATCTCTAATTCAAGTAATTGATTGGCTTAACCTGAAAGCGTACACTGAAACAAACTAAATCCCGTTCACGATGGTACAATCATATTTATGGTGACAGCGCGGTGGCACGATGTAACGTTGATGAAAACGCGATGGTGCGATGGTGAAAACATACTGGTACGAACGCGAAACAACGACTGTACGATGGTGAAACAACGATTGTACGATGGTGAAACAACGAGGGTTCGATGATAAAAATGTGTACTTGGTAAAAGACGTTTTACGATGGCGAAAATCGAGGGACGATATATGAAATGCGATGGCTTATGATGAAACGCGAATTTTTTTCTATGGTATCCATTCGTGATTTCCCCATGTGTTCGTGTTTAATCTCGTCCCATTCAATTTCCCCTTTGAAAACTATTGTGCTAGCTGTTCAGGGAGTAAAAAATTTATTTTGGGCCCAAAAAGGGAAAACCGTATGGGTTTTTTGATTAAAAAATTGTGACTCGTTCGAAATCTCGCGAATCTCGCGTCTCGTTTTCGATTCATTGTGACGGGGAAAACAAGAAGTTGTTTCCCAGATAATACCGAAATAGTATTCCCTTTTTAGTCTACATAGATCATTTTAAAGGGCCCCATTATGCCTGTTTTTTTGAGTTTGTCTGTTGAATGATTTAGAATTTTGTATTGAAGTCAAAGTAGTACATTGTTTACATTTTGCTACTTTTATGACGCATTATTTCACATTTATCGCGAATTTCTTTAGATTACAAGCATCTAACTTCCTCAGAAATCATTATTTAAATATCAATCAATTCATACTTGCTCTATCTAAAGAAGAAAAATTTTATTCATTTTTTTAAAAATCTCGTGGTACGGGATACTTCGACATTGAGAGATCTCGTGTTACAATATCGTGCCTCGCTTCGTGTCTCATCGGAATGTCGCGTCTCGCACAATTCTGAGTGGTCCGATATTCCATAATTATGGCATTACCCGGATTATTTTTAGGAACTCGTACATGTTGTAAGTGCTTTTTCAATAGCGGGTCTGAAAGCCGCAATTCTTGGAAAATGACGATTTTTTACATACATATATTTCTTTCATGATGAAAACAAATTACGTGTGTAATGGTCTTCTTATTTTTTTCCATAGATCATTTAAGGGCCTCGCGCTAATTGATTTAAAAACAACCACTTGTCCCTAACCGCTGTAGGTTCGACATATTCACGGGGCATCGAACTATTCATCGAACTTTGCGAGGATCCCGGTCAGTGTCCCCCAAATGCGGAATACATTTTCGCATGCGCACGTACATAGCTATCGCGTGCGCACGTAATAGTATCGCGTGGCCACGTAAAAGCTATCGTGTACGCGCGTAATAAATAAGAAAATTGTATGCCACCTTTATGCCACCGTAGATACTACCTTGTTTTTTGCTAAGAATATTTCTAGTGCCATAAATCATTTATAAAACTTTAAGCATTGAAAATAAACGCATCACAATTGATAACGATAACAATAGACTTGCTGCATATGTGTTTAGGTTCTGGATGCCTGCACTTGTAGAAATTTTCATTGTGACATGCAGAACAGGGATATTCTTTAATTTAAATATATGACTCCTATGCAGAGGCAGGAAGTTTTTTTGACTGACCGGAAGTGACCTAAAAACGGTTTTATAAATACAGAAAACACAGAACAATGGCTGGTTGCCGGTAAACGGACAGGCATAATTATTACCTTTTAAGAATTTTATGGAAAAATGTGAGACAAAATGTGCTTCGAGTGTCCTTTCTTTTGTGTGTCGAACACATCTGTCTCATTTCAATTTGTCGCAAATATGAATGTTTACGAACACATCGTTCACACTTCGTGAGACAAATGTGCTCCGAGACAAATGTGCTCCTACAGTGCATTACATATAAACATATAGACATTTGGTAGTATGTCAACATGAGGTTTTAATCAGTCAGGTTATAAGAATTCTTTCTACTTTTGGACTTTGAAATTCGTGACTGAATTAGCTGTTAAATTCGTGTTGTTTTTGTTTGGGTAATACACTTATCTATGGTGGCTGATTTGCGCCATGTTGAATATTTGTTTGGCAGCGAGACAGAGGAAAATATGAAAATACGACAAAATCATCGCCTTGTTAAAATTTCGTGCTTTCGTTTTTCGCTCCGCTCGCTAGGCGTTAAATATCATCACAAAAAGTACGACAAAGTGACATCTTTTCGTACATTTGCCCCGCCTGGAACAAGGCAAAAACAAGATATTCCGACAAAATGACTACTTTCTCTCTCTGACCCTAATATCAAATATATTATTTACAATCGCTTGTTATACACTAATCATTTTAGCTGTTTAACTAACAAGCAGTTTTATATAATGATAATTAATGTAAACATTAAATCACTGAGAAACTTATGCAACGATATTAGTAGTTTTACAAATTAATGTGCTAAAGGTGCTTTAAATCTCAATAAAACTTATTTTATATTTTTCTATTAACAGGTCCAAGCTGGAATACAATGAGAGAGTGTATGAAACACAAGAATAAACATAAGACATGTTTTCAACGACATATGCCAAAAAAGTGTAAAGATTCTACACATAAAGTCACAAAAGTATTACGACTTACAACAGACCTATTGGCGACTGTTCTGCAGTCACGTGACAATCTCAAGGTCATTCATCTCTTCAGAGATCCACGTGCCATTATTAATTCTAGAATTGAGACCGATTGGTACCCTGCAAAAACGGACAAAATGATTATAGAAAACGCTAAATCGTTGTGCAATAAAATGCTTTACGATTTTCGCGAAGGTCAAAAAGTGCAAAAATTATTCCCAGATAGATTCAGATTTCTTTATTACGAAGATTTTAGCGTTGATATTTTAAACAAGTCTAAAATATTATATAACTATTTAGGTATGAATGGAAATGAGGTTTATTACCCAGAAATCATTAAACTTCCGGCTGCTAAGAACGCAGCACCTGTTAAGTCGGAGCGAAAGAAAAATACAGCATATTGGTGGAGAAAAACTTTTAAATGGGAAGTTGTTGAGAAAATGGAGGAAATATGCAAGGATGTGTATAAAGAACTTGGATATAAATCCTTTTCAAATAAACAGGAATATAACGACTTGTCAATACCCAGTGTAGTCATACCAAAAGACTATTTGATCGTTTGATGCAAGAGATTTACTTAAGAAATAATGTTTAAGATAAGCGTGCTATGATAGAATGATGCGCGGTTATTGGTAAGATGCGCAGAATGCCTAGTATCATCTTATTTCCTATAAAACTTTTACAAATAACAACTAAAGCACTCGAATGCATGCGAGAACGCTTGTATAGAATACCAAATACCAAATAAGATATTATATAATCTGAGGACAGCTTCTGTGATGACCGGACGACTTCGGTGGTGACCGGAAGATATTCAACACCACGCACAGTTCTTCATTCTGTTTTTTTCCTTTTAACTGTATAAATTGATTGTTGGTTTCTGAATAGCGTTCCGCTAGAATAGTTTAGTTTAATAATTTTGTATTGCTTTTGTTTTCTTTCTATACAAAAACAGTTACAGTGTCACATGCAAACATAAGACAAATGAATTTGCAGGACTTACATGGATGATGTTCATGCAATTATTCATAAAATACAAAAGGGTCGGACCAATGTTAAAACAACATCTACCTACATTGTTTCAATAATAGTAAAAATGCGTGCTTCAATTCGGTTGTATTTGAAATACAACAGACGGTACATATTAGTATGGAAAGCCATGGCTGTCTGATATTGTTCTTTTTCAATTTATTTAACCATTTGGATAATATATAAGTTCACTTCGACTATATATGACTTGAAAACACCTTCTTATTTAACCGGAATCCATTATATTAATCCACAGTTACAATATATGAAACAATACTGTCAGTGTATGAAACCGAGTTAGCAATATATAAGTTGATTTTCTCAATATATGTTTCCAATTCTTCAATATATGGTACCAAAATATCCATGTATGGAACCAGATATCCTAATATGAAACCGAATTATCAATATATTAATTCATTTTTACAATATATGAAACCAATGTATCAATGTATGGAGCCGAATTTTCAATATATAAGTTGATTATTACAATATATGATGCCAATTATTCATTATATGGAAACAAAGTAGCAATGTATGGAACCAGGTGTCCTTATATGAAACCGATTTATCAATATATTAATTCATTTTTACAATATATGAAACCAGTTTATCAATGTATGTAACCGAAGTAGCAATATATAAGTTGATGATCACATTATATGATACCAGTTCTTCAATATATGATACCAAAGTAGCAATATATTGAACCAAAATGTCATTATATTGACGGGACTTTTTTTAAAGACTGTATTCTATCCTTGCACCGGTATTAGTTTCGCGCCAATATTCCTTGTTGAACTGTCAAAAGACCAGCGTGCTTCACTGATTGCATACTGCACATTTTCTAAATAAGGAATTATTTGAATTTAACGTCACATTCACTTCAAATGGGTTGGCAGGCAAAACTTCTTGTTATATATGTACGAGTTGTATGTCATAATTTAAGCTATTGAGTCGTACTGACCATTAACAAAAACATATTTAAAAAATAAGTTCATCTCGACCTTTACCTTTGTTCAGTAATGGGCATGGCCAGTAGGACACATCAAGGTTAATCTACTCACAAAGTTTAAAAATAATCAGTCAAATAATAATTGATTTCATGAAAAAGTGTATGCATTGTAATAACAGATCCCAGTGACCTTGGCCTTTGAATTGTTGACATGAAAATAGGCTATTTTGGTTCCATATAATGAAAATTGCTATCATGGAATGTAACATCAACACTATACTGCTACTTTGGTTCCATACATTAATAAAATGGTTTCATATATTGTAAAAATGACATAATATATTGATAATTCGGTTTCATATAAGGGCATCTAGTTCAATATATGGCTTCTTTGGTACAATATATTGAAGAACTGGTATCATATAAAGTGATAATCAAGTCATATATTGCTACTTTGGTTCCATACAATGATAAATTGGTTTCATATATTGTAAAAATGATTAATATATTGATAATTCGGTTTCATATCAGGACATCTGGTTCCATACATGGCTATTTGGTACCATATATTGAAGAATTGGTATCATATAATGTAATAACCACCTCATATATTGCTACTTTAGTTCCATACATTGATGAATTGGTTTCATATATTGTAAAAATGAATTAATATATTGATAATTCGGTTTCATATCAGGACATCTGGTTCCATATATGGCTACTTTGGTTCCATATATTGAAGAATTGGTATCATATAATGTAATAACCAACTTATATATTTCTACTTTGGTTTCATAAATTGATACATTGGTTTCATATATTGAAAAATGAATTAATATATTGATAATTCGGTTTCATATAGGGACATCTGGTTCCATACATGGCTATTTTGGTACCATATATTGAAGAATTGGAATCATATATTGAGTAAATCAACTTATATATTGCTAACTCGGTTTCATACACTGACAGTATGGTTTCATATATTGTAACAAATTACTGTGGATTAATATAATGTATTCCGGTTAAATAAGAAGGTGTTTTCAATTCATATATAGTCGAAGTGAACTCATATATTATCCAAATGGTTACATAAATTGAAAAAGAACAATATCAGACAGCCATGACTTTCCATATATTAGCATTCAATATGATATTGTTATAGCCCGGTATTATGTGACACGTTTGTGACTTTTTCAGTTTTATGGAAATATCCCGGTATTATTTGACACTTATGTGCCTTTTCCAGTTTTATGGAAAATTAATTACTTACCTATAACATGTTTGCGGTTACCGCACGTGTAAGCAAATTAAGTGAGCCATAACTTTACACATGCCAAAAGATAAATTACTTGCACATGCGCTGTGTACCACCAGTATATTTTGCTGGTTATTTTCTGATTGGTGAACATTTTTAGACATTATCTTAGTTTGACAAGTTCTCAATAAGCTATGTGAAGTATTTGGCAATGTACCATACATTAAATGAGCCGCGTCACGACAAAACTAACATAATGGGTTTGCGACCAGCATGGATCCAGACCAGCCTGCGCATCCGCGCAGTCTGATCAGGATCCATGCTGTTCGCTTACAGACCCTTTAGCAAGTAGAGTAACTGATAGCGAACAGCATGTATCCTGATCAGACTGCGCGGTCAAGGAAGGGCAGCGTTCAATGAACGCAAACCCGACACGACCCAGGAACTGAGGACCACCGGCAAGGAGCCCACCAGGACTACTAACAAAAGTAGGACAGGGCACAAAAAGCCGAGATTTTAAAAGAAAAATGAACTAATACAGTTTAAATTAGGGCCTTTTGGCATCGCCTATATACGGTAAATTTGCAATTTTTGCTATCATTTTTATTTGTTTAATAACAGCAATGTTAAATAACAACACGCTTTTTTTCTTAAACTCTATTCAGTCCATGTCCCACCTAGGACAGGATTCAGCAAAACGCATCAGTTTTTAAATTATATGAAAATGATGTTCTTTGGAAGTTAAAAGTTAAATCCGTAAAATTGTTGTTACCCGTTAAGAGATATATTAGCGGGCGTTCAAATGCATTTTCTAGTAATACCAGGATTTGTTACACGCTCCTGCTTTTAGATGAAAATTAATGTTATTGAAACACTCATTTATCTTAGGGTGAATATCACCGTCGCTCAAAGAACATTTTTCTGTGCATCCAAAATGTGTAATTTCAAGACGCGGTTTGGTTCCATATATAATTTCATTTTACTATGTCTGGAGGTGAAAACACATGTATATATGTACATGTATTAAGAAATGCGTTTTGGGTGAATGTACGTATATGTTAAATGATATTTGAGGTGAATTTTATTTTGAACGACAAAATACTATGAACTATGAACTTTTACAAATATATAAAAAGATGCCTGGAAAGGTTGTCTACAAAAGAATTGTCTTGAATTGCCTTCTCTGTCTCCACATCTCTGATATAAAATGTAAACAAATGTCAAGTAAGTAATATATATTAATAAAATGCATCCTTTTTCTTTCTTTCTTTCTTTCTTTCTTTCTTTCTTTCTTTCTTTCTTTCTTTCTTTCTTCCTTCCTTCCTTCCTTCCTTCCTTCCTTTCTTTCTTTCTTTCTTTCTTTCTCTTTCTTTCTTTCTTTCTTTCTTTCTTTCTTTCTTTCTTTCTTTCTTTCTGTGTTTTAAAGTTAAAGAACTGAACTGAACTCTTTAGGTGTTGGCTAATTTTGCATGAAATTCTAATAAAGTAACTACTATATCATAGCTTAATCAATCGGAGGTATTTTCCGTCATTTACTTTGACGCTTTGAACAGCTTAATAAGCTTCTTCAAGCATTTTCTTATGCCTTTCCTCTTCAACTACTATGGAGATTAAATTATTTACTTTTCTTACCTACAATATCTAATTTTTCCTACTTACTTACATACTTACATGGGTTCCGGATTACTATGGCGTTTTAATCTTTTTATTAGAGCATTTTACCATTAACAATGATGTTTTTACTACTTTTGAATATGCTTAATCTTCATTGTTCATACAAACATAGTTTACATTGATAAGACCTTTCTTGCTCCATGACACCATGGCATGACATTCTGTTGATTTTCACATTTTTTTTAAGGAAAAACATAGTTGAACTCAATTTTTGTAATGTGTTCAAAGATTTGAATTATGTGAATTTTTTTAATTTTTTTGTAGAGAACACTGTCTTTGATAAAATGACTTGTTTATATTTCTTTGAATATTTAGGGCCAAATGGAACTTAACTTATGCTCCGAAATCAAATTGCTAATAGACAGACGGATGGACGGACGTCGGGGGTATAACATAATAGGAATCATTAAAGGGCCATAACTCTGACAAAACATTGAAAGGCAAACAATATGCACAACTATACTTGGTACTGAGCTGTGATCCCTATACATGTGTCATGGCTACTTTGTATCTTGCTGCAGCTACTGTGTAAAAGCCACACATAAACATACGGTGGCACAAAGGTGACATGTGTTTATTTTTATTTATCTCGTGGCCACGAGATACTATGTCGTGGCCACGAGTTACTAAGTCGTTGCCACGAGATAGCTAAGTCGTGACCACGAGATACTATGTCGTGGCCACGAGTTACTAAGTCGTGGCCACGAGATAGCTAAGAAATACTTTAAGGCTATAATGTTGTTATAACATTTATGCAAATAAAATGTTGTTGTTGTTGTTGTTGAATATTGCAGACCAGGATAAGCACATATGTACTGGCTGATCTCGGTCTGCACTGGTCACATGGGTAAATTCAATCACTGCCAGCTGTTCTGAATGATTAACAAAAGCATGTCAGCTACAACAATGTACTATTCTCTAAATCAATTAGCTATCTAAGTCCTCAGAAACCATCAGTGTATAACGTACAGGAGTCCTCAGAAATGATTTTTTCAAGGAATGTGTTACATTAAGTCCTCAACAGTTGCTCTTTAATACAGTGTGTAATATTAAATTCCTCAGATATATAACTTTACTATAACTAATGGTCCTCAGAAATATTTTTCAAATGTATGTGTTATATTATATAATGGGCCTTGTAAATGCAGCCACCCTTTAATAATAATAAAAAAAGATTTAACAGTTTTGCACACACTGCTGTAATATTGTAAGAAAACTGCCAATTTTGCTGACAATTTTTTTTTGGTTGTGTATTTTTTAACCAACACTGTCAAGGTCAAATGGTGACTAACCAGATAATTTTAAGTTTAAACACTAGAAGGTGAATGGATAAAGTGAGCATCAAAGTGCACCAACCTGAGTGGTATCCTCTGGGAGTCGGTAAAACTCCCTATGAATACGTACATCGTGGCCAAGGAATCCTGCAAGCACATCCAACTCATTTTCTTTCAGGTTGAGCATTTGAGCCATCACGGCAATGTGTTTTCTAAATAATGTTGAAGTCAGCAGCTCAGGATGTTTAGCACCGCATTCATGACCAAACTTCCTCAGGGCATCTGTGGCTCGAATTGGAATATCAAAAATTAGACTCGTACTTTGAAATTTTTCTATGTAATTTTACATCAGGCTAAAAGTACAGTAACAATGCTCAAAATGACTAGTTTGAAATAACGTGTTTTATTTTATATTCATTTAAAAAGAAATGCTATCATACTGCAACGTCATGTTTTCCATGTTATAAAACCATTACGGATTTCTTTTTATTTAATGCTAAGTGGTTAGAAACTGAATTTTAATCGTGAAATAAAGTCCTTATCACACATGAAAATAACTTACGCCTGTAAAACTCAATCAAACAAACGAACAAAAAGCATTTTATATTTATAATGCTTTTTGTTTGTTTGTTTGATTGGGGTTTACGTCACACCGACACAGTATAGGTCATTTGGCGAGGTTCCAACTTTATTGGTGGAGGAAGACCTCAGGTGCCCTTCCGTACATAATGTCAGGCACGAACGGGCACCTGAGTAGAATTACCGACGTTCCGTAAACTAGCTGGATAGCTTCCTCACATGAAATAATCCAAAGTCCCTGTCGGGATTCGAAGCCACAGCGTTGAGGGGCATGTGATTTGGAGTCACGTCCTTAACCACTCGGCCACGGACGCCCCCTTTATATAATGCAGTGTGAGTTATATATTGTATGTGTTCCCGTAGCCGTTTTACGCCCGACGTCATCTCCAAGTGTCTATCTTCGCGCTTCAGTGACCATAGTCGGGATTTGTTATTTGTAACACTCGGGCATTAAATAATACAATTTGGCACGGTAGAGAATATTTGTTTGATTTTCTTGTACATGAATATGCTATATATCTCCATCGAGGGAAGAAAATATTGCAATTTTCTCACTGAGATTATGGTGCATATTCGCTCAAAATAAACACATATCCCCTTTTAAAAGAGCCAGTTAAAGACTTGTTTATCTGTGAAATAATAATAATAATATCTTTATTTAAAAAGTTACACATTAAGAAAATGCAACAGCAATCATATATATATATATCTCATATAAGAATATCTCATTTCCAGCGCAACGTCGTATTTTTACGTTTCCCGCACTTTTATAACGTTACGTCATTGTTATATTTGTTATGATTATATTATACGTTACTGTCTGAAGATATGTAGAAACATTTGAAAGCGCTAACAGAAATAAACGTATAAAAAATTAAAGAACTTTGTACTGTGCATTTCCCAAAACATACTTTTTTTATACATGAGATCCACACAAGGAATCGAACTTCTTTTATATATATATATATATATATATATATATATATCTTATTTCCAACATGGCCTACAACAACAACAACAACAGAACACGCATAGGTAGAAGTTTATAATTATATTGATATTAAGTGTGCAATAAATGTTCTGATATTACAAATGGTTATATAGCGAATAATAGTGTTCTAAAACAGAATATTATTTCTCAATACTAAATCTCCCAGAACTATTACAAAACTTCCTTTTTCGAGAAATATTTCATAAAGATATTCAACGTATTCATTGCTATCGTTTTTAACAATATTTGAAAAAAAGATACATGGAAATTGTGCCCAAAATAGACCAATCCACTTTTACTAAAATATACATGGAAAACGTTTAGCCAGATCCGATTCTTTTACCTTTCATCAAAGCAATTAAATCGTTACTTAAATTTATTTTAAACTTAAATTATTTGACATTTATGCACATGGTATTACCGTCTTAGACGAGTGCAGCACACGGTGCAATTTCTGCATTACAATGTAGAAAATGAGATTTCCCTTAAAGGGTGTGCCATTTCGGGAAATATAGTTTGGAAACAACAAAAAAGTCATCAGCTGTTTAGTTAAAAATACCAGTCAACAAATGATATTAAGGAAGACGATCGCTCCCAAGAAAACCAGAGCTAAAAACTAGACTGAATATCCTTCTTCTAAGTCCGTGACCGAGTGGTTAGGGTCTTTGACTTCAAACCATTTGCCCTCATCGCTGTAGATTCGAGCGATGTCAGCTTCTTCATATTCTTTTAAGTGATAAAGGTATTCAGCTCCCCTACAAAACGTTGGCTGGTTCTTTTCAGGTGCCCGTTTGTGCCTCAAATAATGCAGTGAGACTTTATTCAACCTGTATAGCTAGAATGTCGTCCTATGACCTATCATCAGCGTTGTTTGTGCCGCATGTAAGCCGTAAAATATCACTTCCTACATTCCATTAGGGATGTCATATTTCCAGTTCAAAACGACATTATTGTTGCGTATTGAAGGTTCTTTAATCACCGCCGTATGAAAACATCTGCGGATGTTTCAGAATTCAAAATTTCACCAACTACCTATGTAAATATTGCGTTCTGCTTATTTAATCTGGTGTCAATGACGTAGACGGTAGCTTGCCCATGAACAGGCTCCATCAAACCGAGTATGGTACACTTTCATTTTTGTCGTTTTGTTCTTTCTGTAAGGGCTTTCATATTTGATCTAAATATACTGTGTTGGGCGCCTTGAACGTGAACAAAATACAAAAGTGTAACACAGTAAAGGAAGATGATGCAGATTGACTTAAGAGTGTCAAAATATGCTACTTTTCATACTTTTTTATATTTTGTTTTCATTTCAAAATTAATACCATTTCGGCGCACGGGGACTTAAGTGTTATCAGGCATCAATGTTTGTGGGTTTGTTTTTTTTTAAGATTTGCATGAAAAGTTATTCCAAATATAATCCAATAAGATCTATGATTCATACGAATTAAATCATTAATTGAATGAAGTATATTATTAAAAAAACTTCTTTTCATTTTTTAAAAAAAATACGATTATTATCTAAGTACATAGTTTTTTTATAGTTTTTTTTCCAGTGTTATATGAATATTCAAAATTTAATTTTTTTTTACCGCCTCCGTGGTCGAGGGGTTAGAGTCGATGACTACTAATCCAGTTACCTCACTGGCGTGGTTTCGATCCCCGGGAGATACTTTGGTAGTTTAGCACGGAGGAAGGTAGTCTAGTACTGGTGTAACTCTCCAGGAACGATGGTTAGGAAACTGCCCGCCTATATGACTGAAATACTGTCGGGAAAAAGCGTGAAATGAAACAAACAAACAAACAAACAAACAAACAAACAAACAAACAAACAAAATATTTGTTATGATTTATTTGACTGCAATGGTGTATGCTGTTTTGAGTGTACGCAATGCAAATATCACTTTGCAAAACAAAAGCAAAAAAGACAACACACAACATGGTTTTCACTAATTCTACATGGTTTTGGTCAAGTTTTGTAATTATACAGAGTCTTAATACAAAAAGTCATATGTTCTCGTGTTATTCAAAGTGCGATTGACAGAGAAACAGTAATCTTGTTCTCCAGCGCCGACGCACAGTATGTAACCTACTACAAAATTTATTAAAGAAACCATGCACCTGAAATTATTCAACCTTGCATCGATTTAGTCTATGCTTTTTAAAAGCGTCTTATTATGTTAATGTTTAGTATCATATAATGTAACTAAAACAATCAAAGAACCTTGTAAAATTCACGAATATTTTTATTGTGATTACCTGAGCATAAATGAATGTATCGGATTTCACGGGATAGATTTGTTTGAAAAAACGCAGGTCCTCACAATAATATGTAAAATTCCTTTAAACTGGTGTTAATAAGCTTTTTAGATGATTGAAGACTCTAATACATGTATATTGAATAAATCGTTCACAAATAATTAAAATTTAAATAGGAGATTATTCTCTCAATACAAACCAAAAACATGTTACAATGGAAATAATTTTGGTAAATTTATATGTTTTTATGTAATCAATTCCGTGATCATACACAACTGTAGCTATGCATCAATTTACAATGTTAACAATACATTCAGATTGTAACAAGAAAAATATTACATACATTCGTATGTAATATAGGTACGATTGCATACTACTTTTTGAGAAGACTTTATGTTTGCTGAATTAAAGGTGTAATGTAAAATGAACAAACATGTCATGAGATATTTTATATCTTTAAACATTTTCATGGAATGTAATTAACGTATCACCATATTAAAGTTGCATGCATTCAGATGAGAAAAATGATTTCAAGGAAATCAAAATATGAAAAGAAAATTCACGGTCAATTGACTGCTTTGAAGCATAATCACAAAATAAAATTACAGGAAATTAAAAACCTTTTTAATACACTTAAGGTAGAATTTCATTGTAAATCATAGTCAAAGATTTGAGATATGATTATTTATTCATATTAACCTCATTATTGGTTATATATTGATTAAAAAAAACCCCGAAAGACACAGTTTGTAAATATTTATTACAATAAAATATGAAAAAGGTATACGCGCCGAGGTTAGCTATAATTAAAATTCCCGCGCTAAGTCGCGGTGGTGCTTGGGATAATCACTTGATACTGTAAATGGCAGCCATTTTACGATACGAATCCTCGGAAAAGATATGAAAAAATACTTGCAATTCAAAGTTTGCTGGCTACATAAAGATTATCGATTTACTCTTTGCACACTTTTTCTCTGCCTGAGTATAATAATATTGACGTGTTTTCATTGGCTTAAACCATCACGTTACCAATACACATGTAGGTGTGAACTAATTTCGTGTTCATTAAAATTATTCCGTTAATAGACATATAACAATCTTATTTACAAATGAATTGATAAAACAACAATCCCAGAAGCATTTAAGATAATAACAATCATTGGAAAAAAATAAATGCATATAAATTGTAAATTTGTGTATTAAAACTCAACCCCCTAAACAAAACATAATAGACTCAACCAAAACAAGCGCCTGCTTCTTCAGCTAACTATGTAGTTGCATGACCATGATGTGCAATTTAGCAAACCGAATCTAAGAGATAAACCTATTGTAAAAATAATACTATGACCACAGCAGATTTCGTACAGAAAATACTGTTTGTTTTTATCATTATTATTAATAATTTATTTCATCTATTAAAAATGAAGTGCATGACCGAATACATGCACGCATGCTACGTTTGCCCTCCCTTTCAGTTTCGTTTAACATCTAAGGGAATGGCAGA